CTATGTCCGCCCTCTAGGGACGCCCCTTCTAAAAAAAGAGCCTTCCTGGGGGGGGGGGGGGGGGGGGGGGGGGGGGGGGGGCATAGTATTTTCTGGAACAACCAGTAGTTAATTTACAAATAAAAATGAATCCATATTGAAAAAGGAAGTTTGGTTTCTCAAAATTGTCATTTATCAATTAATTTAAGATATTCATAGGATTTTACCTTAATAAATTTAGAATTTGCATCAAAACAGCAAGACCTTATATCATATGCCAATGAACGCAATCTATAAAATCAACAAATTATAATTTAATAAATAAAATTAATAAAGAAGAATGTGTCCATGAGCCACCAATGATGTTATTAAAGGACATAACTAAAGAACAGTAAAACAGATGCTCACCAAATTCAAACTCTGAGTTTTATGATAATAAGCATTGTGTATAAATTTCATAACATGTCGTTCAGGCAAATTAAAGTTAGAGAACAGAAACCAATTTTGAGTTCAATGTATGTACGTACAGCACAAGAGGTAAAACTATATCACTCAGTGAAGGAGGGCATAAAAAGAGCTGATCAACTGATGATTACCTTTTTATAACTTGGTCCATCTTTTTGAGCTAGCTGGTGCATGCTAAAGTGTTACTGCAATGCATTCATCAACCTCAGACACATTGGATATGTGTATTTTTATACAAGACTCTGTAAAAAAATTATAAATACATTCAATTATCTTCTATATTCTTACGTCTTTTTACATGCGTGGGAGAACTAGGTAAGTGACAAATTAACGTGCATTCCAAAATTCACAAGTTTTATGATTGATTACGATATTGTTTCTGATCACATATTTAGTGAGTGTTGATTATAGCTCGTCATTGGTAAACATGTAGATTTCATACCATCAATTGAACAGCAAAAACGACGTCCCTATATACTGTTTTTTTTAACACCAGTAAACTGGGGTTTACCCTGAAACAGGAAAATTTTACCCAACTTTTCCCGACTGGATCCTAGTCTAAATAATTATGACGTCTTTGTAGGCTATTTTAATTTTTTTCTGTGACGCCTTCCTACGACGACATTGTCCCAAATAATTATGACGTCTTGGAAGGCTATTTTAATTTTTTCTGTGACGCCTATCTACGACAGTCTTTATTAGCACAATTGTCTATTCCCATGTCAGACCCAGTGACACATTGATTGATTGTTGGTTGCTTAACGTCCAGTGGCAAATCTTTCATGCATGTTCAGGATGATCCCCAGTGATACATGTAGTATTATCATTAATAGGCCGAGTTTGTAATATGCCAAGTTTGTAATGTGTCGAGTTTGTAATGGGGCCGAGTTTGTAATGTGCCCAGATGTCTAGCTTCGCATTTGTGATATTGATCAGACTTTTATGCTTCCAACATTGTCAAAAAATAACAGTGCAAGAGACACTTGCAGTGCATGTGGCTGTGCACCCCCTTACCCCCCCCCCCCCCCCCCCCCCCCCCCCCCCCCCCCCCCCCCCCCCCCCCCCCCCCCCCCCCCTTTTTTTAAAACTTTCTACAGTTAATTGCATATATCTTAAAAAACAACACAAGTTAATCGAGCAATTTGAAAAATGGATTGAAATAACACAAATGTTGGCTAAAATATCGTGTATCAGTGCAATATATTGACAGTAAAAGAAGAAGTATCATATTTCAACACGGTCACGGTTAACAGACTTGAAAGAGGCGCCCAACACGGCAACAGATGTTTTATTTTCTTCAATCATACTTGTTTTTATCATGGAGAACCTTTTTGGCGTAATGTACAATTATTATATTACTTTTTTCTTTGTTCTGGAATCTGGATCGAGCTAAATTTCACTGCAAGTTTTATCACTGTTTTTAAAAATCAAGCGGTGAAAGTGCGCATGCTCAGACTTTTCATAGTATGCAGCGGTAAGACCCGAGTACTGCTGAACGTTCCACTATTATAACCAATCGTAAAAAAACGATTATGAAATTAAAATAATAAATGATGACAAAACTTTAATGATATATTAAACAATAAATATTCATATAAAATATATATATTAGAACATTAAAATTGGATTTGTAATATTTTCTTGGACATTTTGGTGTAAATTATGTCTGTGCGGGAAAAAAGGGGGATATTTTGAAAATCGAAAAAATCGTGAATATACTCTAGTGAAGGTGAATGATATATCCAGGAAGACTCATACCCACAAAATTCGTCCCATAAAACCAGATTTAAATGTGTCACTGGTATTCACAGGGTTTGTTCACTACCGTAACGTTATTATAATGTTGATACGACGAAACAAAATGTTACGTCGGATTATGACAGTTATAAGCACGTTGTCACAACGTAATAAAATGTTACGTCCTGACAGGGTACTAAATTTACGTAAATTCGACGTAATTGTATAACGTCGTCTGTACGTCTGCATCCAACGTTGGGTTTTTACGTTCCCACAACGTTGGTACGACGTAAACTCAAGACATGACGTTCAGACAACCATTAACCGACGTCGGGAGTACGTCGTGTGTTTGCTGGGTATGGTTATCACTCTGTCAGTTCCATCTGTCTATCGGTCCGTCCGTCTGTTAGTCTGTCTATTAACACTTCTATGTCGTACGATAGATCAAGACTGCCTCAAACATTTTATGCAAAGCGTTAATTCCAATAAAAAGAATTCTATTTTGTCACATTTGAACAGAAATTGGGGTTAAAAACTAAGTTTTTGATATAAAAAAAATAGAGAAACATCTTTTTGTGCTAGAATTGCATCATATATAAGTTATGATATATCCTACTTTGTAAAGAATCACTCTGATTCATACAAAACATTCTCTGAAACTGACATTATCAAGATGCTTGATTTCTTGATTGACAACATATTTGTTACGTTTGGAGGACGTGTTTTTCAACAGACTGTCGGAATTCCAATGGGAACCAATTGTGCCCCTCTTCTTGCCGACTTGTTTCTTTATTATTATGAGGCTGACTTCATACAGGAACTTCTTAGGATGAAAGATAAGAAGTTAGCAATATCCTTTAACTCTACGTTCATGACGTTCCGCTATATAGATGATGATCTCTCACTAAATATTACAATATTTGGTGACTATGTTGAACGAATCTATCCCATCGAACTAGAGATAAAGGATACTACAGATACAGTTAAGTCTGCCTCATATCTTGACTTACATCTAGAAATTGACAATGAGGGTCGGTTGACAACAAAATTTTACGACAAAAGAGATGATTTCAGCTTCCCAATTGTGAGTTTTCAATTTCTATGTAGCAATATTCCAGCAGCGCCTGCATACGGAGTATATATCGCCCAATAGATACGATATTCCCGGGCTTGTGTTTCCAATCATGATTTCCTTGATAGAGGATTGCTGCTCACAAGGAAGCTATTAAGCCAGGATTTCCAAATGGTGAAGTTGAAATCATCCCTTCGTAAATTTTACGGACGCCATCACGAGTTGGTTGACCGTTATGGAATAACTGTTTCACAGATGATATAGGACATGTTCCTTATGTCGTAACTACAATACCCTTCCCTTTTCACGAATGTGACTTACCGAATTAGACTATTTACCGGATTTGTAATAACATAAGCAACAGGACGGGTGCCACATGTGGAGCAGGATCTGCTTACCCTTCCGGAACACCTGAGATCACCCCCAGTTTTTGGTGGGGTTCATGTTGCTTAGTCTTTAGTTTTCTATGTTGTGTCATCTGTACTATTGTTTGTCTGTTTTTTTTTTATTTTTGGCCATGGCGTTGTCAGTTTGTTTTCGATCTATGAGTTTGACTGTCCCTCTGATATCTTTCGTCCCTCTTTTATGAAAGCTATTCAAAATTGATCCCAAAGATAAAAAATTAATTTTTGTATAAATTTTCTGGAAAATTGTCCGTAAAAACTTTTTGAAAAATATATTAATGCGCAAGGATTTTTATCAAAATTTTTAAATAGATATTATAAACCATAACAAATTAATTGCAGGTGTCAAAATTGAAAAAAAAACATGTGGTAAAAACATTTTTTGTTGAAAAATCACGAATTTTGAGAACTATCTTTTGTGCAAGGACTTTCAATTCAAAACATGATATATAGGTATCATATGCTATTCAAAACTGTTTTCTGCTGTCAAAAAGTTCTCTTTTTATTATTATTAAAATAGGGGATGTGGAGAATTAGTTTTTGTTAAAATATCGCACATTTTGAGAAATGTCTTCTTACCAAGCATGTTCATGATAATGTTTGAAAAAAAGAGGTATACGTGAAAAATCACGATTTTTTAAAAATGTCTGTTTGTCCTAATATTTCAACAAATATTGATATATTTGTATACTATGCTAATTCAACTTGTTCCCTGAAGTCAAAATTGTATTAAAACTTTATGTTTTGTTAAAAGATGATACATTTTAAGAATCATCTGGTTTATTTATGTTATTAATACAGTGTTTAATTTCATCAAAAGAACAGGTCGGTTGATGCTGTTTACCATTTATTTATTCTCCGTTTTCTTATAATTGTAAAGGGTTATGGCTACTTTGTTGATTGAGTGAGTGAAACATATAATCATAATTTAACCCAAAAGTTGGTCGTTGTGTATGTTAAAACCTGTTTGTATCACTAATATGACATACGTATTCTGCACTATACTGTACAGTAGATAAGTGCAAATTGAAAAGTTACCATACAAATTCTTAAATGTTATGTTTGTTTGTTTTGTCGACATGTTTTATTTTCGATTCCCAATCTCCTGCATCCTCCAAAATTCAAGTGAAACTTTATTTTCATTTTACCTTTGGTAGAGTCCGTTTCTTTCTCTTTATCAGGGACTAATTTGCTATCAGATCAATTTAGATATTGAAAAGATGACCAACATTTTTAACCACATCAGACAAAGTTGCCTTGACCTGTTTTGGCTATTTAAATGGGTCCTTTGAGTACACTGAAATCGTTTTTCATTTTCCCTGTAAATTAATATGAATAATAATATCTTCTTACTTGTTTATGTAGAAAATGATAAATATTTCAACAATTTATTTTTTCAGCAAACGAAGCTCCACCTACAACTTTCAGAACAAGCGTTAGTAATAAAACTCCGGTTATAAAACAGTCAAACAATGAAAACACAGGTAGGTAACAAAAAATATGTATCTTAATTTTATGAACCACGAAACACGGTGCATATATTTAATTATAACATTCTTTTATGGTCAAATATTTCTTGCAATAGGTAAATGCGACATAGTTAAATCAGAGTAGGCGCCACATTTATAGATCTTTCTTTCAATTTCTCATTCATGTATCCTTATGTGTGTCAATGGATATGAAATATCTGAAAGTACATTTGCATATCTCGTTTATACTAATTTATTGTTCAACCTTCTTTGGCTACTTCTGACCTGCAAAATACTACTTAAGTAATCAAGTCGATTGATTTATTAAACATTACATATATCGATAAAGTTTTAAAGGATTAGGAAAGACGATATTTGGTTTCAACTCTTAAGATCGACTTCGAATAATGAAAACAAAAACAAGTTCGAATAATATAGGAAATGTATGCAAGATTTTGTCCAGTAGTTTCGCTGATTGATTAATAAGGTCTTTCGTGTGTTCATTTGTCTCAATGTGTTCATTCTCCAACAAACATTTGAAATTTCAAAGAGGCAATTTCGCATCCATCATTTATAAATTGAACCAGGGGGCTCTGAAAACCACAGGGACTCGATTAGAAGATATATATATTTTCGTAATCATTATAATTTTATTTGGTTTTTTTGTTTTGTATTTCCTGTCTATTTGTATTAAATTATCAACGTTGGCATTAAGATTTGTATGTTTACTAGCAACGTGCAGTTTACTATTTACTACATATTTGTTACGTTTGGAGGACGTGTTTTTCAACAGACAATCGGCATTCCCATGGGAACCAACTGTGCCCCTCTTCTTGCCGACTTGTTCCTTTATTCATATCAGGAACTTCTTAAGAAGAAAGAAAAGAAGTTAGCAGTATCCTTTAACTTTACTTTAAGCTATAAAGATGATGTTCTCTCACTAAATAATTCAAAATTTGGTGACTATGTTGGACGCATCTATCCCATCAAACTTGAGATAAAGGATACAACAGATACAGTTAAGTCTGCCTCATATCTTGACTTACATCAAGAAATTGACAATGAGGGTCGGTTGAAAACAAAACTTTACGACAAAAGAGATGATTTCAGCTTCCCAATTGTGAACTTTCCATTTCTATGTAGCAACATTCCAGCAGCGCCTGCATACGGAATATATATCTCCCAGTTGATACGATATTCCATGCTTGTAATTCCTATCATGATTTGTTTGATAGAGGGTTGCTGCTCACCAGGAAGCTATTAAACCAAGAGTTCGAAGTGGGGAAGTTGAAATCATCCCTTCGTAATTTTTACGGACGCCATCACGAGTTGGTTGACCGTTATGGAAGATAGCGGATATGTTCCAAATGTCGTAACTACAATCCCGTCCCCCTTTCCCCGAATGTGACCTACCGATTTAGACTTATTACCGGGTTTGTACTAACATGAGCAACACGACGGGTGCCACATGTGGAGCAGGATGTGCTTACCCTTCCTGAGCACCTGAGATCACACCCAGTTTTTGGTGGGGTTCATGTTGCTCAGTCTTTAGTTTTTTATGTTGGGTTTTGTGTATTATTGTTTGTCTGTTGGTCTTTTTCATTTTTAGCCATGGTGTTGTCAGTTTGTTTTCGACTTATGAGTTTGAATGTCCTTTTAGAATCTTTTGCCTCTCTTTTACTATCCATGTCCTTATTCAGAAAAATATATATTGAAAGCGGAAACAGGTTTAAGCCGACCTCAGTTTGTTCCTGCAGCCCAGTCATATTATTCAGCTAATACGTTTTTATTATGTAGTATAATCAATGTTTGAGTTTGAGCGGTCCTGATGAAGTTAAATCCAGAAAAGCGCTTCAAACATACTAAATTAATAAAGTGTTTATTTAATTTCCTAGCACTGGGTTTATACGGCTATCAGTGGACTGTTAGTCCCAAAGTAGTCAATGCCTAGGTACTGACGTGATTTTTATCATAAACTTATCTAAAATTCTTGTTTATAAATTAGGAAACTATCATGGTTCCAACTCCCTCAGGCAAAATTGATTTTTGATGAATTTGACTATTCTGTTTAGGTCCTATTTTGGTCATAAAGCTCCTACCGTTGCAGCGTATTTACGCAGACATGGCTTGTATATGTTTGGGTTTAAGCGTTAGCGATCAAGATAAATACAGAAAAGCGTTTTGGACGCATTGAATTTATGATGTGTTTTTTCAATTTCAAAATTTATCATTGACATTGAAACATTAGACAGATTATTATCGTCAGTAAGTTTACCTAAAATGGTGTTTTTATATTGTTTGTATTCAAGCTGTCATTGTGGTTGGTACAGTGTGTGGGTCAATAATATTGATTCTTTGTGTGATATTATTTGGAGTTTTACAGAACAAGAACAAGTAAGTATTGACTAAGATTATGCATGGATTATAACGAAATGAAGCTTTTAATTGTATTCGTCGTTTAGAAATACCATTGAACAAAATCTGTAATAAAAGAACAAAATGAAGCTAAAAAGATAAGTTACTACATGATGTATTTTGCAATGATGTTAATGTGTGTGAACTATCTCTTGGGACAAGGCCAAGTTGGCTCATATAGATATTTTTCAAGAAGTATGTAAAATGGCCAATTTTATTAAATATGTCAATTTCCACATGGTTATGACATCATAGTGACATGACATGTTACATTTATGCACAAAGGTTTCAAGATTGTATCTACCTGTCCATTTATCAATAAAATTATCGAAGTTTTGAAAGGCTGGAATAATGGCACTTTCCGGGGGGGAGGGGGGCATTGGCACTTGTAATGTAATGTCATTTTTCGAGGTTCATGAGATATGGTATGATCCGAGAAATTACGATGAAATAAACGACATTATGAAAATAAGGAGTTGTGGTATGATTAATAATGAGGCAATTACCCACCCAAGTTCAAATGAAGTGGATGTAAGCAATTATAGACAATGTTGCTGATTGAATCATAAGTAGGGCATAAGTATCTGTTACTAATCTGATGTCGACTTTTTTAACATATGCGATTAAAACTACATTCGTAAATGCATAAGATATTTGTCAAATCCATTTACCTCTCCATGAAAATAGCGTAAACATTATAGCCATAGTGTTGTCAAAAATATATGATAGGGTATGTATTTTTGTTAATCCTAATATACGAAAATGGAGAGGTAGTCAATGGACTAACTGCTCACCCATACAAACAAAAAGATCGAGGGGACCACACTAGCTTGTTGTGCCTCCTCCTTTCAATATATGGTATATTTCTGACAGCTGATATTTTTATAAATCATATTAAAAAAATACATATGTAGAAGTAAAACTTGATTTCTTCAACATGCTCAAAGAAAACTTCGTAAACTTAATAGATTAGCTTCTTCAAATTAATTGATGATATCTTAGTAACCTCCACATTTTTGTTTTAGAACGTTAGGATGTCTTCTAATTAGAAACCGCAATGACAGGTCATTAGATTATGTAAACACGACACAGCAACAAAATCCGTCGTTGTATGAAGGAGTTGACCATGCTTTAGATGTACATAACTATGACCAACTATCCAGGAGGGAACATTTGTACAATGATGCCAACTTTAGTAATAATTAACGAAAAGACAATCTGATATGCATGGTACATATGATAAAAATTTAAAGTTGCAAAATACGAAATGTATTCTTCATTAATTCTCTTTTTAACAAATAATTCTTTATATCAATAAACCCTGACAATATTGATAAACTTGCAGATTTTTAGTATTTTCTTTTCTAAATATAGACATTTAAAAAACGAATTTTACATCATTTCATGTCTGTAAATAGCAGGTATAGAAATTTCTTAAGCAAGTGCTTAATTTCGGCAAGTTGTTGTTTCTTTCAGACAAGTAATATGTGATAGGAATAGCTAAAACAAGTACTATCTTTAAAAAAAGATGTCTGACGCATTCAGATGTGAGCATAGAGTTTAATACAAACCATGAATCTTTATCAGGTTTTTTTTATCATAGTTAAAAAGAAATGCACACAATTTGACGGCTAAAGGCTGATGATTCTGAAAGTTGAGTATATACGTTTTTCCCTAAACAATTAAAATATATACTGCATGGTTCTAACCTAAATGTATGTATATATATATAAGTATTTTTCAGAGATAAAGAAATATATACCTATAGCTGTGAAATAGACATAAACATAAGATATTAGTAGGTTACAATCTGTAATGAATAACAAACTTGAAACAGTTTAGAACCATGAGGAAATGTCAATTATGACTATATTGTCAAGCATAACTTTAACAATTAGAGATACATTTCGATGTGTATATCGAGATGAACGGAGGGAGATGATATATATATAATACAGCTTTTGACAAGTCATTAAATTTGCAATATATGTATTTTGACATTCTTTATTTCAAGTTTAATATTTTGTATTCTTTGAAATTATTATTACACTTTGGAAGATTTAGACTGCTCTTCCAAACTTGTACACAAATTCGATAAGATATATGTATAGCCATGATAGCACTCGAGCTATTAATAGCCTAATTGACCTGGTAGATGTAATGAACCTGAAAGGGATATTTACCTGCTGATGTATTAAAGGCTACGCCTACAAAATCCAAACAATTTGATAGTGGCGATAATGACACCTTCTTTACAATAATTTATTTTTATTTATCTGAATAATTTCATTTTTAAATTTGATTTTATGTCCGTAATATTTTCTTTTTATTTTAGCATATATCTTTTTTGTTGGTTTTTGTTCAAATCCGTAATTTCGTCCAATCAGAGTAAAGACTTATGGCATTGCGCATGCCATTACCATAGTTAAGCGTCCTTTAAAAAATAGGTCACAAACCGAAATTATTAATGACTGCGTCAGTGAAAAACATCTGGTGGGGGCACAACCAATACTTAAACTCAGTGGAGATAACACAGTCAAACATACTAAACAAATTTAACATATACTTTCCACACTGATCTGTGTCCACACTTGTATATATGATCAAATAAGTATTAATGAGCAATTGCATTGGAAGAATGAATGCTTGATACCTATCGTCGGGATCACGAATCGTACGTGTTTCTTGGTAAGTGCATACAAGTGTTTTATTTGTTATTACATGAAAGAGTGGCGCCTTCACGTGCGTTTGTTCTTGGATGTTATAAATACTTAATAACTATTTGGTTGAAACGTAATTATGTGTATAATATATTTGTAATAAATTTGAACAAGGCACATGTATCGTTTAACTGTTATCTATGATATGACCTGGAATTGAGTTTCTGAGAATTAAAACTGTTAGTGGAAATAAAAGTTGTGTAAAGACTTTATTTTTTAAGTTTGGAATACAGACGTTTGACAAAATCAATACAATTGTAATCATAAATTTCATCAAGAATATGGAATTATAAATGCATAAGCAAAAAAACTGTTAATAATGTAATGTGAGACCTGTCATCATTGTAAATTTTTATTTTACAAAAAAAAATGGAACTATTATTTTGTTCATAAAATTATTATTTGTTCCATTATTATTTAAAATAGTGTAGCTCCAATGAACAAGAGAAGATGTAGAGTAATAACTCAAAATCTTGCTTCTTTGTGTATAGTGCCTAATCTTCGGTGCACACAGGATCAATCATCAAACATTTACAAAATCATCCAAACTAAATTCTTATCAAAAATGTTATAATTCATATCAGCTTAGTTCTTACGTTGATGTTCTAAGGAACAAATCAGAGGGTCAGCTAAGATTGAGTGCATTCAATCTTGCCATAGAAAAGGGCGACATTTAAGTTTAACCACCAATGAAAGAGTTTTCAATGTATTCAAATCGGTGAGGTAGAAGAAGAAAATCACGTTTTACAATAGTGTCAAAAGTATTCTAACTATAGAATAGGTTTTAAAAGTATTATATTAAATATATTTCCCACAATTCATACTGAAAATCAAGTAGGTATGGAATGTTGTATTAAAGTGACTAGTTTTTGTATACGTAAATGTGTATATTATAGAATAGAAATTTTATCTTCATAAATATAACATATTTTGTCATAATGCCGCGGATGTATTCATTGTAATAATGTACTAAAATATGGGCCCTTGCCAATTATTGAAATTGTGTTTGTGCCAATAAGATATTTGTACTTGTATTTGTTCAGATGTAATGAAATGAATTTCTTAATGATGCAAATTTTAAAGTTTAAACAAAATAGAACACACATCAGATTTGATGATCAATAGCAAACGTAGTAATATAAAACGGCATGTCAAGGTTACCCTTAGTTATAAGTCCGTGTAGTGTAAACCATCCAGACTTCCGTGTTTTATCAATCATGAAATAATATGTTACATTTATTTGGATAACTGTATATCCTCATTAATCGATAATTAAAAATAGAATTGTACCCTAACGTAGAGGAATGTGGAGATACAACTGATATCATTATTCTTTCAATTCCAAAGGTCACTATAATGGATCAAATCGCACTGTTTGAACTTTTAATAGTGATCAAGTGCATCAGCTACTTAAAATGACAATTTTTCATGTTTAAGGGTTAGAGAATTTACAACCTTTTATTTATTCATTAAATCTGTGATATTGGTTATACGATTAGATAATGTCAATGATGCGTTTGACTAGAGGTGAATAAACTGATTATCCTTACATATTAGAGGAATTCACCCGAGGCCTTCCATGGTGTGGTTTGTCATGTTTGTGCAGTGTTTTGTGTGTATATTTTGTCGTTTCATAGATTTCCTGTTGACCAATTAAGACGATGCAGTCTCCCAGTCCATTTTCGACTGACGATTTTGTTCTTAAGATATGTTTACTCTTAAATAGATCCAACCTGCCCTCGATCGTTCAGCTAACGGTTGTCTGACGTATAGAAATATGGTCGTTCCTGGACTTCTCCCGTTCTACATTAAAACTCTAGCTACAGTTGGGCGTCCGTTTGCCAAGGCAGGAGCATACGTACGCAGCCAAGTCCAGTCCGAATGAGAAAGTTAAATAATATGCCCCGTGTAGAGAGAGTGTCGCGGTCTCATCACATTAAAGAACGTGTGCAACAGCTTTCTTTAGAATCCCGCCTAAGTCGTCTTTAACAGGGCAAAATGATTGCCCTGTCAAACATATCCTTAAATTACGGTGACAGTCCTTATTTCGATTTCATGTCCTTCTTGATTTTTTAACACATTTTTCATAAATTATTTGTTGATAAATTAGTAGATTATCAAGAAAAAAAAGTTCCCAACTCTCTCAGGCAAAGGTGACCTTATTTGAATATGCCTGTTCTTTAAAGTCCTTTTTGGTCATATACTAAGTTGCTCTTAATTTACGTGTAGACCTACGTTTTTATACATTCCTGGATTTGATATGTTTAGGTTTAAGCGTTACTTATCAAGATAAATCCAGATGGCGCTTCGGACGCACGAAATTTATAAAGTGTTATTTTTCGTCTTCATCTTTGTCGACCAACCTTGCAGAACCCACCTGTTGGATTTATTTTTAATTTGTTTTCGAAAAACAACCACCATAAACCGTTAAAAAGGGTAGATTATATCGTCATTACAGGGCAATAACTCGGTTTAATGAATCGACTGACGAATTATTTGCAGAAACTGATAAAAAAAAATTAGAACATGTAACAGTTTCTCTATATATTATAGTTTTTTTTCTGTCGTACTTTAATTGTGTCAAGTACTTATATTTTATTTATTAAATGAATAATAAGATATGTATTTGTACAATGTATAATGTTAAGTCACGTGGTACAATTAATTGCTTGTCTTTTGTCATTTTCCCTTTGACATATCTTTAAGCATTGACGGTGTCTATCTTTCAACAGCTTTAAACTTCAACTTTAAGGTTTTTCGTGGACTTTTTAAATAATTGATTAAGAGATGAAATTTCTTGTGTGGCCTATGTTTGTCACCACTGAATAAATTTCATTTATATAAAGTCTGTACAATTCTCAGTTATACACAAGGACATTATAGATATGAAAACTTACTAGGTTTAAATATTCTAAATTGTGATTTATAGTTATTGCTCTTGTGAAAACGACATTCAAGATATTATCAATAAAGTACTTGTTCGAATAATGTACTATAGAATGATATATAAAGAACTTAACGTTGTTACCTTATATAGATATAAGAAGATGTGGTATGAGTGCCAATGAGATAGCTTTTTAAAAACATTTCTATAGGATTTCGTTTAGGTCGCATACATAATTAATATTTGTACTTATTGTCACTAAATTCAAACATTTCTTCCTGTTTACTCCGAATGGTGTTATGAATATTATAATATATTATAGCTTATTAACAGGTCAACGCGTAAAAGGAAGCACTAAAAAATTGAGAGGAAAAAGGAAATAATTATTTGTTTTTTTTTGAGGTTTTTTTCAATGCAAGAAAAATACGGTGGTTTGCAAATTTAAATGTGGAGCTATTTAATTACAAATGCAAAATAGTATTTTAATTTAATTTACTTTAATTTATTATATAAACTAATCATGAACAAAATATAATGCCAATTTCTCTTTCTTATATATGTACTGTCTACTATTCCACTGACCAAATGAACTATAAAAATAAGATCAAGGTAGGATGAACATTGCCAGACAGACATTACAATCATTCCATACACGAAATAGTATGACATGTTGTTTATAGTATGGGACTCGCCAAATCAATGGAGACACATCAAGCTTGGAAAAAACATTGGTACCGTAGATTTTTGCATATTGTAATGAACTTTGAAAAGTTGAAAGGAGATAGTAGAAAACTGTTTTGTCTTTACTCCTAAACTGCAGGATTCTTATGGTCGCAATCACATTCGACTGCTGAGTTTTCGATCTCTATTTTTAAAAACTATCAGAGTTTCTATCTTGATATTTGGTCGACTGCAAACACCCGTATGTTCGGTATTTAATGCATGCATATTCTGGACGAAAATATAAATTCATAAGTCGTCCGAATTAAGGGTGAAATATTTGAAAAGTCACGAAGAAATGTATAGCTAATTTTTGTCTCGCCTTGGCGTAGTCAAAAAGCGAGACACAGGTATTCTGCTTCCGGCGGCGGCGTCGGCTGCGGATGCAACAGTTTGTTAAAGTTTGTCATAAGGTCAATTTAAGGGGAACAACTCGTGTTAAATCCATGATATTTGGAATGCAGTTGTATAAGCATTGGAACAACTCATGCTGAATCAATGATATTTGGAATGCAGTTGTTTAAGCGTTGGCAAATCTCTTTTTCATGGAGATTTTTTTGGCCTCTGTGTCAACATGTACAGTGTATCAAACCTTAAGCCTTACAGTAAGTCACTTAC